GGGGCTCGATCCCAGGACCCTGGGATCATGACCTGAGCCGAAGGCAGACGCTTAACGGCTGAGCCACCCAGGCACCCCCCAGTGCGATTTTAAGATCAAATGAAATACTTGTGAAATGCTTTTAAGTTTTAGAGTGCCACACATATATTAGCAATTTAGTCAATTACTAAATTGGAAGCACAAAGTTTTAATGTTGGAAGAAACTTGATGGATCATCTTGCCCAAAAAATCTGAGAGAGGAAATAAAGGGCCAGAAATGGCGAAAAAAATGTGCACTGCTGTCACATTACACCTGTCAAGCTTATAAAAATTCAACACTATGTAATCGGGGGGGGAAAGGTAGCAGGGGAGGGGAGTGGAGAGAGGAACACGAACACTGCGAACAGTCTCGTTAGTGGTGCCCTGTGCCCCCAGAATGGGTGCAGAGGGGCAGACACAGATGTGTTTTCTTCCTGGCTCTCCGTTCCTGGTGCTTCTCACAGTGATAACACTCAAGCCTGAATCTTACGGAAAGAACAAGACCATGATTTGAAGGATTTCCTGACAACTGAAAAAGTGAAATGCACTGTTAACTTGGCCAGGCAACTGCGGGTGTTAGATGTAATGACCACCTTAAGGAAGAAACTAAAGAATGAATTAAGAGCCTCAGAGAAAACTTACCAATGAAAAGTCCCCAGGGAAATTGATAAAATCATCTATAAAATACACAGATGACACAATGGAAGAACTAATGAGTTAGAATCTCTATATTTGCTGAAGTCTTCCAAGGAATAGAATGTTTAAATAATTTAACTTCTAAATGTATACCTTCTATGGAATAAAGTATCAAAATTACATATATTTTTAAAGACATTTAAGGAATTTTCATTTTATAAGCTGACTTGATTCTGTAGGATACAGGATACTTGAGAAGGAAAAATACCATCAACAAATGGTACTGTATTAGTTCCTCTGCCCTATACAAGTCTAGTAAAGTAACAGAACCCAGAAAAATACATGGTGGGGGAAGTCCTGAACTAACAGCAGTTAATGTAAAGATGACCTATCGGACTGCAAATTAAATCTGAGTCCATACCATGACATGGCTGCTAAAGACAGATGCCACCTTAAGGCCGAGTTAACAACTACTAAAATGCCTGATAAAAAAACCAGCTTGATTATACATAATCTTAAGTATAATTCAGGAACTTGTTCATTTCTAGTACAACAAGTCAGGAGGGGCATGGACCAGTAAAACGGCCTTTTCCAAACTCATTTGGCCATGAAATCTAATCTCCTCATACTCAACTCTCTCTTTTCATTTGTTCTTTTTTGTAAAGAAATAACTATTAATATCTCACCAAGTATTCCAAAGCACAGATTGGGAAGCACTATTTTAGAGTTTCCAGGAGACAGCAACAAGGAGGGTGAAAGATTTGGAAGCAAGTCTCAGGAAAAATGGGCGAGTAACTGAGATAGTTTGAAGAGATGCGTTCGGAGAGACAGGACAGAAAGCTGAATTAGAGTATACCACACGTGTAAGAAGGAAAGGGCTCTGTGGGTTGCTCCAGAAAGAAGACCTGGCAGCTTCAATGCAGCATATTTCAGCTCAGTACAAAGAAAGGGAAGAACATAGGGATGAGCTCCCTCACAATGTGGGGGGAGGCTAGTCACTAAGTATATCCTGGATCTGTCTATCTGGTAGGGATGTTGGAGAGCGCATTCCTTGAGTCTATCACTGGAACAAGCTGATGTTTCTTGATGCTCAGGAAAAAAAAAAAAAATGTCTATGGTCATACTATCAGGGGAAACATGTTCCCTCTGTGACATCCATCACCATTTACATTAGTGTATAAAAGCACAGAGAAGTCCTGCAATAAAGAAACCTACAGAACTTGATTTAATGAAATGTTTTCCTAACTGACCTGACGCGGGAACACTTTTCCCCCCAGCATTACCATTCAGAAATGGCTGAGGGTTAAGGGAGAGAAAGGGGCAGAATTAGATTAGATTTTTTAAAGCTTTAAGGTGACTGAGGACCAGTTTGAATCTCAAGAAATTATACTTAATAACTATTAAGTTAATAATCTATTATGAATATAAAATTTATTTTTTCAGAAGGACTAATAAAGGAAGTTGGCTCTTAATGTATATTTTGTTCTTAGAAAGAAATCAAATGCATTTAAATGAAGATTTACAGATAGAACCCAAGTTTCCAGTGAAAACCTTGTACCTAATTTGTTAAACTCACCGACTGTTGGATTTGTCTGATTGCCATGTTTCCACGCCATCTCATAGTTTAAGGCAGCATCTGTGTATGCTTGCTCTTTTTCCATAATGTACCCCATATATTCATAAGCTTTGCAGCAAGACTGAAGGAAAATGGAAGATGTATTAATAGATTAAACTTGATTTGATGGGGTGCTTAGGACTGTAGAGGTCGACCACATTAAGTCATTTAATGGGCTCATAAAACAATGTTTTTCAACCTTGGCTATGCAATCAAATCATCTATGGGACTTAATAAAAGATTCTAATGAAGCCCGACTCCCATTGCCCCCAGAGTCAGGATTTTTAGGGGACAGGCAAGGGAATGTATATTTTATATATATACATATACAGTTTTTATTACAAATAATTTCAAGTTAATTTACAGTGTAATGAACCCCATGAACCTCTATCTTCAACAATTAAATCACGACTAATACTGTTTTAACATCTACCTCCCCATACTCGTCCTTCTGTATTAGCAAATAAAAAATCCTCAGATATTGTACCATCTCATTCATAAATATTTTAGAATGCTTCTTTAAATATAAGGACTTCCTTTAAACAGAACCACAGTTTATCATACCTAAAACGTAACAACTCCTTGGTATTACCAAATATCCAGTCATTATTCAAATTCCAACTGGTCTCAATATAATTTTGTTTTGTCTTTAGTTTGTTAGGATGATGAGCCAAACAAGGCCCACATGTTGTGACTGGCTAAAATGTCTCTTAATTTTCCTTTGATTTAGAGGTTTCCCTTCATTTCTCTCCAGGTCTCCTTTCTTGCGGTTAAATGTAGCAAACAAGAATTTTTATCCTTGAGTTTGTCACAGCCCAGATTTAGTTGAGTGCATCCTTGCGGTGCTTATGTAATGTATTCCCATGTCACTGATATCTGGAAATTATAATTAGACCTAGAGGTTTAAATTTGATTTCGATCTTTGGGGACAGAGGTGAAAGGACTTCAGAGGTCAGTGCCCTGCTGAGCCACATTGGAGCCTGAGGCAAAAGGAAAAATGTATACATGTTTTTGTGATTTTTTAATTGCTAATTTTTTCCCAAACATTAATTTTTACAAATCAAACTGAAAAGCGGGGATGTTGAAATTCACATTTTAAATCTGGATATTTTCTTTATACCCAGACAAAATTTATTATTTTATTTTCCTGACTTTAATGGGAGTAAATATGTCAATAATATTTTCATTAAAATCATTACCCATTGAAAAATACATAAAAACATGGATATGGAGGCATACATTTCCCCTTTTGTTTCTGGCTTCAAAGCGTTCAGCACAGCACTGTCAGATGCTATTTATTTGCCATTTTGATTTAAAAAATATTGCATTAAATTATTTATTATAATAATTTTTATTATAATTTGTTATAATATTCTATAATAATCTTGATTAAATGCTTATTTATCTACAGTGGACTGGATGTTTAAAAAATTCATACATTGAAACCCTCACCTCCAGTGTGATGGTACTAGGAGATGGGGTCTTTGTGAGGGAATTCGGTCACGAGGATGGAGCTCTCACGAATGGGACCAGTGTCCTTATAAAAGAGACCCCAGACAGTTCTCTCACCCTCTCCTTCCACCATGTGAGGATAAAACAAAAAGTTGGTGGTCTGCAACCCAGAAGAAAGCCCTCACCAGAACTGAACCAGGCTGGCATCCTGATCTTAGACTTCCAGCCTCTAGAACCGGGAGAAATCAATTTCTGCTGTTTATAAGACACCCGGTCTATAGGACTTTGTTATAGTAGCACCAGCTGCTGAAGATAATTCCTGAGACTTAAAGTGCCCTTTTAAATTCTGGACCCCAAGTGAGGGTTTGACTTGCTCACCCCGGTCCGGCCCCGTCATAGATGGCATGTTCTTCCCTCAGGAGGCACCTAATATCAGATTCTCTTTTTATGATGTTAAATCCATTCATTAATTGATCAGGGATGGAAAATGGTGATAGTCTATCACTCTTCATTTATTAGCTGGAAAATATCATGAGAAATGTCTCCTTTTATGCTCTATTGTTGCCCAGTAGTATAGTTCACACAGAAAAGGTAGGCTAAGTGCTTAATGCCTTCCCTTTATTTGCTGGCTTCAGAAATAACAGTTCATGAGCATAGTTCAGTGGTGACCAATTAGGTTTTTGATTTTTTTTTCTTTTTTGGATCTTTGTAAACTCATGGGATTTAAACTTATTTGGTGTGTTTCAATCCACTGCAGTTACTATTCTTACTGATAGTTAATGTGTTCCAACTTTGGCTAGTGTGAGTGTCTTCAAGTTGGCTCCTAAGTCCTTGACGTGACTCTAATCATCTTCGATAGCTTCCTTGCCATCTGGTATGACAAGATGGTCTAGTATCATCTTGTACATTTCTGTCCCAGATCTGGATGATCTCCATCTTTTAATTATACAATTCAAGGTTTCTAAGCTCTAGTTCCTGAATCTCATGCTTCCAATATTGACATGTCTAATCAGCCAAACTGGCGCCTCTGAAGTAGCCATCGTGTTCAACCATGCAATATATCGCTGTCAGTGTTCTGGCAAACTGAAATTCTATCTGTACTGAAACCCTAATTCCCCCGTAATCTTGCTTAATCCTAGACTAGGCATGTAAGGGTCAGCCATCTGGCAGTTTACATTTTTCTTTTTCCTTTTTTTTTTTTTTATTGAAGTATAGTTGACCCACAATGTTACATTAATTTTAGGTGTACAACAGAGTGATTTAACAAGTCTATACCTTATGCTGTGCTCATCACAAGTGCAGCTACCATCTGTTATTATACAGTACTATTACAATATCACATACTCCCTATGCTGTACCTTTCATCCCCATGACTTATTCATCCCATAACTGGAAGTCTGTATCTCCCATTTCTCTTCACCCATTTTGCCCATCCCCTTACTCCCGAGCCCTCTGGCAACCATTAGTTTGTTCTTTGAATTTATGAGTATGTTTGTTGTTGTTGTTTGTTTAGATTCCACATATAAGTGAAATCTATGGTATTTGTCTTTCTCTGACTTATTTCACTTAGTATAATACCCTCTAGGGTCATCCATGTTGTCACAAATGGCAAGGACTCATTCTGTTTTATGGCTTATAATATTCCATTGTATATATATGCCACATCTTCTTTATTCGTTCATCTATCAATGTACACTTGGATCACTTTTTATTTTTTTTTAAAGATTTATTTATTTATTTACTTAGAGAGAGAGAGAGAAAACATGAGTGGGGGGAGGGGCAGAGGGCCCAGAGGGGGAGAGAGAGAGAGAGAGAGAAGCAGACTCCCTGAATTAGTACTTTCATTTCCTTTGGGTAAATACCCAGTAGTGGAATTATTGGATCATATGGTATTTCTACTTTTAATTTTTTTGGGAACGTCCATACTGTTTTCCATAGTGGCTGCACCAATACACATTCCCACCAAAAAAAAAAAAGGAAAAAGAAAAATGTAAACTGCCAGATGGCTACCCTTACGTGCCTAGTCTAGGATTAAGCAAGATTACAGGGGAATTAGGGTTTCAGTACAGACAGAACTTCAGTTTTCCATAGTGGCTGCACCAATACGCAGTCCCACCATCACATTCCCGCAAGAGTTTCCTTACCTCCACATACTCGCCAACACTTGTTATTTTTTGTCTTTTTGATTCTAGCCATTGTGACAAGTATAAAGTAATATTTCATCATGGTTTTGATTTGCATTTCCCTGATGGTTAGTGATGTTGAGCATCTTTTCATGTGTCCATTGTGGCCACCTGTATGTCTTCTTTGGAAAAAATGTCTATGCAGATCCTCTGCCCATTTTTAAATTGGATTATTTGGGGGTTTTTTGGTGTTGAGTTGTACAACTTGTCTGTATCTTTGGATAGTAATCTCTTACCAAATATATCATTGCAAATATCTTCTCCCACGTATAGACTGCCTTTTTGTTTTGTTGATGGTTTCCTTCTCTGTGCAGAAGCTTTTTATTTTGGTGTGATCCCAACAGTTTATTTTTGCTTTGTTTCCCCTGCCTGAGGGGTCTGGGAGTTTAGATTTTTGAAAACCTATTAATGAGAATCTGTTTTCAAGCACAATTTAACTTAAAATTAGATGTACAGACTCTAAATTGATAAATGGCTTGATGTTTTAGGTTTTTAAAGTTCCTAAGAAAATAACTTAATAGCATTAGATGATCATAACTCTTTAAAAAACAAATGATCCACTTTGTAATCTAATATGCTGAAAATAAAACAGATTTACTACGATTAAAATGTTGAAGTAATTGCTATGAATCTGTAAGGATAAATATCCTCAAGTTTCTAAGTTAAGTACAATTATTTTTCAACAAATACTAACAAATTCTTAACTTAAAAAATGATAAAACCTTTTTTTGTGACTAAACACCAAAATGCACTGTTACTAAAAGGCCTTGGATTTCCACAGACTTGAAGATTTTCAATTTCATACCTAAAGATAAGGACTTTTTAATAAACAAATTAAATGCTGAAAATACTTGTACCCACAAAATGTATTATTCATAGTGGATTCTAATAATGTGAAAACAACATGCAGCTGCGGTAAATTCATCTAGAGTATTTCTTAATAGGAGGGACAGACGTCCGCAATTAACGTTCTTCTGCAATTTTCATTAGGTCTGGGACGAGCTCGATAATCACAGGCAAATGCTTGACATTCCATAAACACTCTCTGTAAGTGGGGCATACCACAGCTGAAACTTGAAACTGCATAAATCTCTATCTTTATTTTCAAGAGCAAACGGCTTCTTTCTTCTTATTAATGTTTATTCCCTGATTGTGGTAAGAATAAACATTTAATTTTCAAAAAACACACAGGAACCCTTAGAAATGGACCATCATTCTATAATAACCTATTACAGAAAACTTTCACATCGAAGGTTAACAGTAATTTTTTACTCTTCGGTCACCTACCTTATTATGACGCAGGCACCGTTTCAGCAGCTCTTCCGCCATGTCGTATTTTGCTGATTGAATATAAATATCGGCAAGCAGCAGCCAACCCTTCTCAAAGTCCTCAGCATCAATAGGATTCCAGTTCATTTTTGCAATCCGCTTCAGCTGGTTTCTGGCTCGTGGAGTCTGTTTCAAGATCATATAAGCTGTTGCCATTCCCAGAAGTGCTGGAATATGATCCTTCTGTAAGAACGCAAAACTTCAGACCCCCAGATCCACAAACACAGATGTCCTATGTTTAAAAGGAAACATGGCAAGTAGCAAGGGCCTGTGGACTCCGTATCTGGCTCCTCATAGATAACTGTGATATGGTCATTCTTTAATGCACCAAGTAACCTCAAGCTACCATGAAGAAACTTGGTCAGGCACCACGTGGTCAAAATAATCCAATAAATACGCAGATGCCATAACCACACGATTCAGACAATTAGGGCGACTTGATCTTTAATGGGACTGACTAGCTATTATGGTTTTATATAGAAACAGAAAAAAACAAAATTCTATTTCAACATAATCCTAACTGGAACATTTGTGTTTCAGATTCAGCATTTTGGCTTCTTAGTTCTTTCACTTGTAAAACAAGAATGAGATTGATTTACCTGCAAATGATATTCCTTACCTACACGAACTTGTACTGACTTATCTATATTGACTTTTTATCAAAACTGACTTCTATTGCTCCTTTTCCCTTCCTACTTGTTTTATTCAAAAGCTTTTTCACTCAATAAAGTTTGACCAATGAAATGTTATAAACAAGGCATGTGATTAACTAATCACTTGGAAATTATGAAATAAATTCATGCCTTAAAATACTTGTAGACTTAGAGTGCAGCTTCTTCATAGTGTCTGTAAAACACAATGTTCTTTTAGAGGGGAGTTCAGTGTCAGGAAATGTCACTCTGTGAAACCAACAAACTAATAAGAATTGGTATAAAATGGAAGCTATTGGTAATCTACCCAGGAAACCAAATTACCTAAGCAATATGTGTATATCCCTGATAAAACAAGGGTGTCTTCTTATATTTCAGCAGAGGGACTGTGATGTTTTTATAAAGGGGAAGGCTTCAGGTTAAAATACAAATAAAGGATGAGCAACTGTGATATAGAAATTATAATATCAAGACTATAATAAAGGTACACGGTGAGATAGAAAGTTTGGGTAACCAATAAGGAACACTGCAAAAGGAGAATAGAGCAGTTTGTTCATTGTCCAACACCAACCATGGTTGGAAGTCAGAAAAAACCCTGGAATAGAGAAGGACAATTCCTTAGAGCTTGATGAAAATAATTTTTCAGAAGATAAAACTTCTTTGGTTGTAATTCTATGCCTACCCACAAACTTCCAGTATGTGATTTGTCCTTCTAATTAAGGAATGGCAAAAAGGTTTGAGTGCCAAATCCAGCCAACTGGTAGTAGGTTTCGGAGACACGAGGGGTATATCATCCATTTATTGAGGACCCTTTCCCCCTGCCTCCTCCTGTAGAAAGGAAAGAAAGTAGAGGCCTGCTCTGAATTTGTCAGCCAGGTCCTAGAACATTCCAAGCCAAGAAGGGTCCCGTAAACATGTCCAGATCTAGTCACATGCTAAAAATATCCCACACTATACATTTAAAAATAAGCTCTCTGATTTTAAAATCCCACACCCTGAGTTTGAGTAGAATTACTCAATACCTCACAGCTTGATCACTACTGAATGAACTCAAGAATAGTTTCTAAAAGTACAAACCTGAGTTCCAACCCCTGCATTAGACCCACGTGTCTTTTCTGGTGCAGACATCCTAAGGTGTTCAGCTGGCTTTCCTCTGTCTTTCTCAGTCACTCTGAGCTGCAACAACTTTAGATCACAGAGGACAATACAGCCATGTTACAAACAACACACCCTTCAGGTTCAAGGTGACAGGATGAAAGCAGGTGGAAACATTTTGCTTGGGTTTAAGGTATCTTGCACTGCTTCCTCCCCTGACTTCCTGTCACGTAACTCTTTTTCAATCAATCTGAATGCCACATAGTGTCGTGAATAGACAGGATGCATCCCTGCCTGCGTGCTTTTGTTCATATTTTCCCCTGCCTCTAGAATGTATCTTCTCCATCTCTGCCTGTGGAAATGCAATTTATCGTGGTTCTTCTTAAATCATACTTCTCCACAAAAGGGCCTCCCCACTCTCCTAATATTGTTTCCTACAGCACTTTTACCTGCAACTCTAGAACAGAATGTAATAGATTTTGGTTTGTACACAGTCAGTATGCTTTGCCTCATCTTCCCTGGATTGTGATAAACTTGACAGAAGAGACTGTCCTTGGTTTATCTTTATGATTCCCCCACTGTCCTTAGCACCCACTGGCTGCTTAACGAATATTCATTATATTTAATACATGCAGCTTATGAGTTAAAAGGAAAAAATGCAAGATAAAACTCATTGTTTCTGAAACTTCATGCATCAGTCTTTGGCTGGTATGGTCAGTTGACAGATTTGAGGATAGTGTATTACTAATCACATATGTAAGAATGGTAAAAAATAATGCAGTCTCATCAACACAAGAAACCGGTATTTCTAGGAAATAGCCACAATGTCACTCACAGCTTTTGGTGTTCTCTCAAACATCACACTTTAAACTCTCTCTCCTACTTCGGGTCTCCATTTGCCAGCCACTGTCATCCATCCGCTGCCCCGTGGCCTGCCCCCTGAGAACATTACTTCACAGGCAGCAGACGGGCCCTGCTCTAGGATGTCGTTGCTGCGGGAGCTACGTGCTGTTTAGTTCCAAGGTGGCTTACAGTGCTGATAAAATGCCATCTAGGATACATGTTCCGAAATGGCAACAGGAGCTGCAGGTTCCCCAAAGCTCTCCCGGGTCCCAGGAGGCAGGAGGAAGGGGCCCCGGTAGGGAGTTTTTAGTAGCTTACTGCCACCACTATGACCAGTGAACCACAAGGAAACACAGCAAAGTTCTGTATATCCTCTGAGAGACACAAATTTTGAGTTTTCGGTGGCCTACAACACTGCTGAGTGGAAGAACACGAAATCCAGTGAGTACGCTCAGACCTAGCTATCGCCCACTGCTCATGGAGTGGGCACCTAGAACCCCTTCCTTAATATCAAGCCACTGGAGAAATACAGCACTATGTGAGGGAAGGAAAAACAGAGCACCCAGAGAGTGAGAAGGTGGATCTGAGTGAGTTGGAAAGAGAAGGAAGCCTCTGCTCTAATTATTATTATTGTTGTTACTACTATTATTATTGCAGGGGGTTATTTCCGTGTTGCTAAAAAACACCACCATTATTCGCGTGACTGAATTATAAGCTGTCAGTACTGATCCCATTTAGCCTTAGAGCTGGAAACATTTCAAGTTTGCCTAAGTGAAAAAGGTGAGCTATCAATGCAGCCAGGTGTTTATTTTCACTTAGTCACTTAAGCGAAACAACACAGAAATTCTCCAGACAATAAAGCCATTCCTTTGAGAGTTAATTTATGCCCTTTTGAAGAAGAATTTTCCTTTCTCTAGAAGTTACCATTCTAATAGAAAAAATATATCAACATATCAAAATAGTAACAAAATACTATCTTCTAGAAACGAAGGTACGTTATGTAGAATTATGCCAAGGTATAGAGACAATTTTTACTTGTAATTAAGTCAATCTTCAGAAAATACACAGCTCATCGCAATACATATTTCTATACTGCCAAGGAAAGAGAATATAAAGCTGAAAAACAAAATCTACTGACCTCAGATGTTGCTATCTTGGTGAAGGTATTCAATGCTTGCTCAACGTTAGACTTCTGTTTGGTAGCGACCAGGCAATAGTTTTCCAGGATGCGAAGCTGTACGTGACCCTGAATGGTCTGAGGTTTTAGTTCTTTAAGGAGTTTTTCTGCTGTTCTCACTGCTAACTGCACAGACTCTTGCTTTTCAGTTGAATTACTGTATACAATTAAAAATAAATCTCTTATGTCTACTACTCATGAAGTAAAATTCATTGAGATTAGACTGAGCCCCAGGGTACACTGGTTTCTTTTCTGTCACTAATTTGAAGTAATCCTTTTGCAGAATATCACTCATTCTCTTCTAATACAAAGCGAACCACAGATGGAATGCATTACATTTAAACAAAATTAATATAGCTTGAATAAAACACCATTAAACATTTACTCACTTTAGACTGAAGACAAAAATTGGACAGTATCTACATGTGGTAAGTGTGTTCATTTCTGCTAACATAAAACTAGAATTCAGGATAAGTAGAATCATATAATTATCAAGTAGTAGATCTACTCAGAAAATGAAAGAAAGGAGGGAGTAAAAACTGACCTTGCTAAAGCACCTACTACGTGCCAAGCACTGCAATATTTTTAGCTGCCTATCCGACTCTCAGAAGAGAAGCTATGTATCTGGGGTGCCTGGGTGACTCAGACAGTTAAGCATCTGCCTTCAGCTCAAGTCTTGGTAGCATCCACTCCTTGCTCAGCAGGGAGTCTGCTTCTCGCTCTGCCCCTCCCCCTGACCCTGCTCCTGTGTTCTCTCTCTCAAATAAATAAAATCTTAAAAAAAAAAGAAACTATGTATCTGTCAAAAGGTTGTAAATTTCAAGTGCAATAACAATTCGAATATGTAGTATCAATTTTCTTATTTTTTTTTAAATATATAAATCAATTAATAAAAGGAGACTAAATTCTCAAAGCCCAATCACTAAAGCTGCTGGTCTTTTTCTTAGGCTTTAGGCTTTATCTTCTCTAAAACATTTCACACTGTTAGGTACCTTCTTCAAAGCTCCCCTCCTTTGCCTTTTGTAACATTACACGGTTCTGGGTCTCTTTCTACCACACTGATTGCCCTTCTCTGACCTCCCTTCCCCCTCCCATCCCCTTAAATGTCAGCATGCCCAAAATTTAGTTCTCAAACGTCTGTCACTGCATTCTATTTGCAAAGAGGCCATTCACTGGGTTCCAACTATCTACTCTGAGGATCTGTCCCCCAAACCTGTATCTCCAGCTGTGACCTCCCTCTTGTTTTGTTGTTTTGTATTTTCAACTATTTGCTAGAGATTTCCAGGAGGACAGCCTATAGTTGCACAACAGTACGTTACCTTAACCTTTCTAACACAAACAAACATGCCTCTCCCTTGCTCTAAAACTTTCAATGGTCTCTATAATCTAAGCCTTCAAATCTGTCATTAAAACTTCTCAGCAGTCTGGTTCTAATTTTCTCTCACTCCTCTGTTCATCTTCCCCCGACTGCTTGGCGGCACTGCTAGGATTTCTATGAATTCCTGTAACACTTAATATCCATTTTGCCCATTTCTGTTTTGTCAGAGACTGGTTTCAGATACTGTCTTGCCTCCTAGGTAAATTACTATGCTCCTGAAGGCAGAAACTACCTTATATACCCTATACATTTACATCTTTACATACCCCCTATCATGCTTTGCTCAATTCTGGGAACAGCAACAAACATAGGTTGATAGCAATAACACCATTTATCTGCAGTGCACTACAGGGGCTCCCAGCAGGGGCTTCGCGGTAACAGAGAAATTAATCCACATCTTGCCCCCACCCTTGACTACTACATTAGGTTAACTCTGAGCTTAGTTCACAACGCTGTTGCAGGGAGCAAATAAGACAATGCATATGAAGTATGAAGTGCAGGGTATGGCAAAGAACTACCATTTGCTAAGGGGTTACTATTATTGTGTGGATAACTTTTGCTAACATAATCACATTCTACAATTTACCCTGTTCTCAACAGAGTAACTAGGGGAGTGTCTTCGTAACATGCTTCTGATTTCGGAAACCTCCTAAAAGCATTTCATGCTTGTTTTAGAGAACAGCTATTCTAGCTATGATTTTTTCTTTTTTTTAATTTTAATTTTTTTTAACTATGATTTTTTTCATCTGACCTTTCATTAGTGCTGTCCTAGAATTGAGCCCTCTTTTAAAAGGTATTCTTGCCGATTATCCCTAGTGTTTCCAGAAAAGGGATAATTTGTCAAACGATAACTCACCCCAGGTCTCCATCCAGATTTTCAAATACTTCACCTCCAACAGTTTCATTATCTGGATTCAGACATATTTCTATCATATTATAAAGGGCATTTTGGCCCCAGTCACTGTCCTTCCGAGCTTTATTAAAATGTCGAAGGGCATCATTTGGTTCTCCAGTATACCTTGTTAGATGTTTAAAAAAAAAAAATCACTTATTTCAATTGTTGACTACAAACTTTAAGTCATTTATAATCTCTTTGGTAAATAAAATTATTAACATTTTTTAAAATGTAGATCTATCTTAAGACAAGGAAATTTATTCTACTTTATTCACAGTGAGAAAAAATCTATTACATAGGATTTATTCACCAACAGATTTACCAAAGATATAGTCCTTTACAGTATTGAAATCCTGGCTCCAATTTTGCTCTGGAGTTACGTTTTTCAGCCATTAAGAAAAATCTTGGAACATCCTCAAGTTTTCCACATCGTCTCAGGAAATCAATTAAACGTGATAATGTCATATAATTATCTAGAAACAAAGAATATTTTGGATATAGACAACATTTTTTACCTCTTGTTTTGACAGTTATAATCCTACTTCATTCAAGTATAGTTTACTTCAAATGAAGTAGAATTTAAATACAATCAAAAGGAATGCCTTAAGGGTTATAAATCCCTAAAGAGTATGGGCAACTGGATAAGGGTTTGGTTGGTCTGGACAGTGAAAGAAGCTAATCTATAAAATACAATCCAATCTATAAAAATGTACATTTGTTGTAACTTAATTTTCAACTGTTCCTGGGAACAAAACCTAGAAACAGTCTCTGCATTGGTCATCTAAACTCTTAACTGTAAAATTCAGGAGGGTTGATGAGATTGCACAGGCTGAGTCTATCTCTGACGTCCTTATTCACTGCAGCTAGGAAGGGGGTGAGAACACTACCTTTTGATTATAATGTTTGGGGTAGGCAATTAGAAATTTTACTCTAGACTTTCCTTAATATGCGTATGTGACTAATGTACTAGATGCTAGCTTACCATAATATAACTGTAATAAATTTGTCCCAGTATTTTTTTTTTTTAAAGATTTTATTTATTTGACACAGAGAGAGACACAGCGTGAGAGAGGGAATACAAGCAGGGGAAATGGGAGAGGGAGAAGCAGGCCTCCCGCTGAGCAGGGAGCCCGATGCGGGACTCGATCCCAGGACCCTGGGATCATAATCTGAGCTGAAGGCAGACGCTTAATGACTGAGCCACCCAGGTGCTCCTAGTCCCAGTATTTTAATCCTATTTTATCTTCTCCTAAGAAAAAAGAATTAATTTAGTTCTTTGGTGTCAGGTATAATTTCCTGGCAGTTTCCTAGAAAGTCTTCTTCTCCCAACTCTATCTAGTTCTTTTGCATCACTAAAATACTAAGTTTTGAGAAAAAATTAGTATTTTTAAGATTGTAAAAATAATGCAGACACTTTAGAAAATTTGGAAAAACAAAGAAAAAGAGAAGTATAAAGAAGAAAAAAAAATCACTCATATTCCCACCAGCTAAAGATTACCACATTTTGGTACGTTTCCTTTCATATAGTTATGAGTGAAAATCATCCTATCGATCTTTAAAACATATTTCTTTGCTTATATATATACAAAGTTGAAGTCACACTTTGGGTTTTAATTTTGGCTCAACACTGGTACAGTAAACGTTTCCCAAATGTCAATAAATGGTCTTCAAAAACATGAGTTAAATGGCTGCATAACAGTCTATTATATCGATGGCTCACATTTTATTTCTCTGTAGTTGTCCTTTGTAGATAATTTGGGCTCTCAAGTTTCAGTTAGCACAGGATTCATAGTAGGGGATTTGCAAAAATTCTCATTACATAAGCTATGCTGATCTTGTTTGTAGGGTTAGAATTAAAACACACAAAAACTTTTTAAGCAATTTATCTTTAATTTTATGTTCTAAGAGAAAATATCATATGATCCAGCAAGTCCACTTCTGGGTATATATTCAAGAGAACTGAAAGCAGGGAATCAAGCAAATATTTGTGCACCAGTATCTACAGCAGCATTACTCCCAGTAGCCAAAAGTAGAAACAACCCCGAGTTCATCATCAGATGAATGAATAAATAAAAATGTGGTGCATATATACACAGCGGGATATTATTTGGCCTTAAAAAGGAAGGGAATTCTGACACATGCTACAACACGAATGAACCTTGAAAACATTCTACTAAGTGAAATAAGCCAGGCACAAAAGGACAAATACCATATGGTTCCACTTTATATAAAGTATCTATAGGAGTCAAATTCATAGACAGGTAGAATGGTGGTTACCAGGGGATGGGGAGAGAGAAGGGGGGAGTTAGTGTTTAACAGGTACAGAATGTTAGCTTGGAATGATGAAAAAGTTCTGAAGATGAATAACGGTGATGGTTACAAAAATAATTTGAACGTACTTAATGTCCTTTAACTGTACACTTAAAAATGGCTAAAATGGGAAATTTTATGTTACGTATTTTATGTTATCGCAATAAAATATATTTAAAAAAAGAACTTCTGTAGGCTTTGTATCTACTCTATTGTATGATGTCAAGATAATCCAGGTTATGATGACAACACCATCATTCATCTTCCTTGACCTATAAACTTGGGTATCAAGATTTTGTTCTTCCTGCCTCCTGGCATCACTAAAAAGCAGAGGATGATAAGACTATAGCTTCAGAAAGAGAGGATTCAAATATCGGTCTTGTATTTTAGCTATGCAAATTCAAGCAAATTATTCAAATTCTCTGAGTCAAGAAATACTTATTTTCTTAAAAGAGAATTATAATCTTGACCCTCAAAATGTCACTGAGACCAAATAAAATAAGGTCATGAAAGAGCTTTAAAAATACAATGGTCATTAGGAATATTTACAACTCCAAAAGTTTTGATAGGACCTAGGGATAACTACCTAGAATAAAGTCACAGAATCTAGAAGCTGTATTGGATTAGGCAGGACATAAAGGTTAAAATTTCAGGCTAAAGTTTTTTTGTATGATATTGCTAATATGTGCGATGCATGATATTGCTAATATTATCTAAAGTCAACCTTGGGAGGCCAGGTAATAATTATCACCTTCTAATATTACTGAAATGTATTATTAGTTTAAATTATAATTACCACTGGTAGATTAAATTACATTAACTTGTCTCTTAGTTAACCATGAAATTTGACAGCAGGCAAATTTCTGTACTTAAGGAATCCATTGAAGACTGAAATGTATTACATTCTAAAAAAACATAGCCCATACTTATTGATGGATAGTGAGAAAATATCAAAATACAGTGTGATGTGATGCAGCAGGAATAAAGTGCGAGGGAATTACAACGCATGGAATTCTTCACCTTTGCCTGGGGGAGGCAGGAGGTTTCGCACAGAATCACACTTGTGGGTATCCTGAAGGCTAAGAGGAGGATCTTGCCAGACAGACAAAGACATTCCAAGAGGCAGATGGTGTGTGCAGGGACAGAGCAGCAGAGCCCAGAGAGTGCTGCTAAGTCCAAGGTTACTAGATATTAAAGTGGAGGAAGAGGGCTGAGAAATACAAATGGACCAATAATTTAGGGCCATCTTATTTTCAAAATAATGCTATGATTTTAGACTCTACCCTGGAGAGCCATCCTAATTTTTTAAGCAAAGGACTAGCTTCTGATTTATAAAAGTGATATGACAGTCCTATGAAGGTGTGGGGCAGCAAGAAACGAGAGGCTGGAAGGTAAGTGGGGGACTGCACCGGGCTGGGTCAAAGGGGATAGTGGCCCTAATTTGAGCCAGGGGCTAGGACAGGGTGGCCTGCGTGTGACAGCAGGCTCTTCAGCACAGAGAACTGATGGGACTTGTTCAGCAGTTAGTGTCGGGGAGGGAAAACCCAGGATGATGTGGAGATTTTGAGAGAGAAGAAGTGTCACCTGTCAAGAGAAGAGTAATTCTACCTATAAGAAGGATTCTCTACTAGCTAGGTTAAGTCAAATTAGACAGTACATTTCTGAAGTAAGCTAAAATACAGCATTAACTTAAGGTATAACATGTGCTGCTAAGGATGACCTATAATAATAATGCAGAAAGTATAGATACATAATTCTGATAAAACAGATCTGTGAATGGAGTCCTATTAGGAATAAAGCATAGACTACATAAAATATGACATAGATGACAATCTTAACATTTTGTATTTTTAAATGACTAGGTATTTGAGTCATTCATTGATCCATACAACCAATTAACATTTCTTCTGCACCATCTTACATGTCAGACAATGTGTCTGACGCCAGGGATGTAAGATGGGTATGACATGATCCCTGCAAACATGAGGAGTTTGCAGTCTCATGGAGAAGACAAATGTATGCATACATATTTTCAGAAAAACACTAGAAGAGATAAAGAGGTATGGATGAAGTTTCCAGGATTGGGGTGATCAACTCCTCCCAGGTGGTTGAGACTTTCTTTCTTTTAGGATCAGAAGTCCTGCATTGTCCAGGAGATCCCCCCGTCTCAGGCAAATTGAGGCATCACATAAGGCATCTTAAAACGTCATAGGTGATGGTAGTAAGACCTAGGCTTTTGTTTTTGGCAAGGGGTGAGTAGATTTTAGATTATGTGTTGGGAAAGACAGAGAAGAAGAAGGAAGGCAAAGTACACTATAGGCAAAAGGAAAAAGAAACACGCAAAGATTGGGAGGTGTGGATGTATGTCATTTGATACTTGATATTTCTGGAGTACAAGATCCTTACACTGATAAACTTACAAATAATTTACTTCGTATTTGTTTATAAACAGTCCAAAGTTTCCAGTCGACTAAGCCAATTTGACTATTATTTATTTTGAAAGAATGCTGATGCTAAGTTACCTGGCTGAGACAAAATTCACACAACAGATGAGGGCTTCTTCAAATCTTCCATGTGAACACACACTAGTGTCATCAATGGCTTAAAAGATTTGCAAGGGCGGAGGTGTGTTTTTAAAGAAGCCAGGCTGGATTATTCTCTCAGAGGGAAGTGCTACAATATGCGAACAGCTTAAGACAGAATGTAAATAGTATGTATATCCCCTTAAGAGGCAATTCAGAGAAGAAGAAAAGGACACAACTGAGTCTGGAACCCAGGAGAGGAACTCATGAGAAAAATAACTTAGGCTTAAAGAAAGCAAGAATCCACTTTGGGCAACTGGGCGGGTAGGACAGGCCTGTATTTTGGAGTCCTAGAGAGTAGAAGAGGTAAGGTGCTGATGTAATCAACACGGAGCAGAAGCTGGGACCAACGGGGCCAAGAAACAACCGCATGGCCTGAGGCAATCCAGAGGTGGGCGAACATTTAAAAAGACAATAAAAATAATACAAAGAAAAATGTTGATATTACTACAAAGACAGATAGGACCTTTTTCCTTTCAATCTTGACCCTAGCTAGGGGTACTTTATTCGTAAGCAGAAAGTGTTGTTCTCAAATACAAACTTTTTTAAAGGTATAAACATTAGTAAGTACAACACGGAGAGGACAGCTGGTGCTTTGAGTTGCCCTACTTGAAGGAGATAATGTGTGTCCCATGTGTCCACGCCACCCGAACCAGGCAGCTCTGACTGCCCGATCATCCCGCCACGGAGGCGTCAGGGTTTACAAGAACTGAATGACAGCTCTAGGGCTCCTCTGGGACTTCAAATTCTCCTTGGTAAAAACATAAGCAACGCACATTACTGTTTCTACCTTCCTTTCCTGTTTTCCCCTTCCTTCCCCTCGCTCCTTTCCTTTGCTCCTTCCACTCTTCTTTCTATTCAATATTCACTGAGCACCGAGCCAGCCAGATACGGTTCTAAATCCTGGAAACACAGCAACGAAGACAAACTTCGTGGCCACCTGATGCTTATGTTCAATGATTTATAATTTTCGTTTTGTTTTGTTTTACAAGGGTGATATAAAACAACAAAACGCAAGATAGAAAGATGGAGAGCAGTAAGAGGTGCTGTTGATACAGGATGGCGGCGGAAGGGCGCTCTCCGGAAGTGGCATTCTGGCCCACACCCTGAAAGAACGAAGTAGCCGCCACTGGGCTGTTTGGGAGAAGCGTATTTCAGGAAGGGGGAAGGGCAACTCTAAAGTCTCTGGGCACTAACCTGCTCGGACTGTTGCCTACCTAACATCTACTATCCCTTTCTTCCTCACTACCAGAATTCTGACTTTATACAACGTGGCACTGGGTTCAGGTAAAGGATGACATTTCCCACCATCTTTGGCAGCCATGGAGGTGCTTTTAGAAAGGAGTTTTTTAAAGAAAAAAAAAAAAAAAAAGATGGTTCACTGGGGAGCTATGCCTTTTGGCCCACCTCTATCCCAGCCTTCCTTCCCCATCCAGTCCCTGGAACATTGAGGCTAGAGCTGCAGTCATCCTGGACCGTGAGGTGATCCTCGGAACGGAAGTTAGGCTGGTGACGACTGAAGAAAAAGGCAGAGGACTCAGGCGTCCTGATGATACTGTGGAACCTCCGTGCTACTCCCTACATAACCTACTTTTAAATTTCTTTCACATAAGAGAAAGACAAAAAGCCATAATTATTTAGGCCACTGGAATTTCGAGGGGGGAGGCTCTGCTACTTTCAGCTGAAAGCATTTCTAAACTGTCCAGAGGCAAGGAACAGAAACTGGGGTGCATTACGAGAACGGAGCAGTAATAATCGACAGGAGAGCTGATGATGGGCAGCTGAGCCCCGGCGGCAGCAGCAGCACAGGAGGTAAAAGGTGATGGGATCCCAGACAGACCCTGAAGGTAGAGCAAAGAGGGATCTGCTGACAGGAGGCATGTGGTACAGACAAAGATGAGCCAAAGGCCACTGTAAGAATTAGGGCCTGACAAAGTGGGTAAATGGTGCTGCTATTTACTGAGGTGAGAAATGGAGAAGGAGCGGATTTGAAGGGACAGAAAGATCAACCGTTCTCCGTGGGCATGTTAAGCTGGAGATCCTCCGGGACAGCTAAGTGGGAACGTAAACAGACGGTGGTGTGTGTGAGGCAGGACGGGAGATGCACATCTGCAAGACACCAGCACGCACACAGGACGTTAAAGCCACGGGCCTGCATGAAGTCACCCAGCGGGCTGAATGTATAAAAAAAGAGAAAAAGTTCAAGAGCCGAGGTCTAGAACGTTCTGAGATTTACAGGTCATAAAGAGAAAACAGATCGAGCAAAGGGGTGGGGCAGCGGAAAGCAGAAAACCCAGGGAAGCCTAGCACCCCGGCAGACAAGTGGAGAAAGTCCTTCCGGAGGGCGGGGAGAAGCTGTGCTTATTTAATAAGCACGATGGCAGGCCGAGCAGGCGGACAGCTGAGACCTGAACGTGGGCCTGGCAGCACGGAAGTGGCTGGCTGCCCTGCAGGAGCAGCTTTCCTGGACTGCAGGAGCGGAGCAGACTGAGGGGATGCAGCTTCGAGGCAATTTGCTGGAAAGGGAGATGGAAGAATGGAGCCATCATTGGGAGGAGGGTTAAGAATTGGTTTTTATTTATTAACGTATTTAGCATGTTTGTGTGCGGACAGGGGAAACAATGGTGGTGCAGGAGAGAGAGGTGTCAGGAGAGAAGCGCTCTAGGAGGTGAGGGGTGGCGTCCTGAGCCCATGGGGAGATGATGGCACACCTGGGGAGGGCGATGGCTGGGAGCAGGCAGACTTCGTGACAGGTGGATGCAGACATTCTCTTTCAGTTGCTCATATTTTTCTACTCAAGTAGGAGGCAACATTTTTAGCTGAGGACAAGGAAGGGGCAGAGTGGACTGGAGGTTTGAGGAGGGAGGAGAAAGTGTAAAAAGTACTTAGAGGGAGCGAAATCATTAGAGAAATACAGCAGGACAGCCAGGCAGCATCTGAGGGCCCACTGGGGTCTGTGGTCATCATTTAAGGCGAGGCCAGTCCATGCTGTTGCATTTTCCTTACAGCTATTTCTGCTGCTCAAGGGCAAGTGTGGACTAAGGAGACAGCTGGATTCAACCGAGGTTTCCATAATAGCCAAAAAGAGGCTATTACGCATTAGAAAAAAACATAATCAGTGGATATTTACCTGGTTTGCGTTCTAAAAGCTGCTGTAAATGAAACACTGCTTGTTCATAGTCCTGTTTTCTGAACATGAGATCTGCCATCATCTGTAAAGGTAAAAGTTGGTTCTAAAAATATTGCCATTATGTTTTAGAAAACACATCTTTCCTATCAAATAGATTTAGGGCTATGCAAACACATACAAAAAACACGAGGGGGGCAAAGATTATAAAAAGGAGCCATTTAAAATTCAAGTATACCTTAAGCAAATTAGCACTGATATCAGCCTAACAGAAGATAATTAAGGATGTGAAACAGATCGCTCTGTTCACAAAACTTTATTTTTAGCGGAAAATATGTTCCAAGTAGTTATTTTAAAAACAGAAATTTGAAGGGAATTGCACACTCTATGTGTTATCATTGAAAAGATGCCTCCCTGGACTTGGCTAAAATGACGGGAAGATTTAAAAAAAACCAAAACACTCTTAAACCCTCAATATTTCAAAAGAATTTAAAATGAGCAAAATCTACTGAGCCTTTCTTATTGTGTGTTTTAAAAGGGATACTTTTTATATTTCTTTTTAGTTATAACTTTCAGTGAACCTCACACACTGTCATCTATGTAGCTGTTTGAAAGCTAATGAATACCTCAACCCAGGCAAAACTGAGAAAGCAAAAGCAAAACTCTGAAACACACCATCTTAGAATGATATATGAAGTTTTCCTCTGAAACTCCAAAGTCCCACAGAAACTTTTAACTGAGTTCAGCATGTCTGGGTAAGTACTTAAGACCTAGTCTTTAGCAAGTTATAGCTTTATCACATGAACTCCTCCTGACCAAGTATCCTCTTCGGCATAAAGAAAAATTAACTAGGCCCGCCAGGGCAAGTAAAGATCTGATCAGGTTTACCATTCTTTTTTTTCTTTTTTTTTTTTAAGATTTTTATTTATTTATTTGAGACAGAGAGAATGAGAGACAGAGAGCATGAGAGGGAGAAGCAGACTCCC